CCCATAGGTAAACATAATAGACATCAAAAATCGCAAAATAATATTTAGGAGCCCAGCGGGACTCTCTTCTTTATTTAATAAAATTTTTTTTTGCCAGAATGGGAACATACAAATAAAATAATACAAATACAAATAAAAAATCAATAGCCATAGTAACCACGAGGTTTATTATTTTTGAAAATGTTATAGGATTAATACCTGGATAACTAGATAGAATTTGATAATCAACAATTATGCTCACACCAGATAGCTTTTTTTGATCGCTTTCTGGATTGGAGTCATTAGTCTTGGAGGTAGTGCTATCATTAGTCTTGGGGGTGGTAGTATCGTTAGTCTTGGAGGTGGTAGCATCATTAGTCTTGGGGGTGGCATTGTTAGTCTTGGGGGTGGTGCTATCTTTAGTGCTCATTTCACGGTTCTAAATAAAAAATATAGTAAGTAAAATTCGTTTTCATAGTCGCCGTTAAACAAAATGACATTACTTTAAAAATAAATTATGATCGGGTAAAAAAATTATATATGAGCAAAATAACCCACCTACAAGAAGCGGTAAAATCACTTATTTTTATACCAACCATTCGCTAGATCTAAAAAACTTGCTAGTTACATGATTAGTAATTTGCATTACTCTAATACTGACAGATCACACTTAACAAAGCAACTCCATTTTGGTTGTAAAGCTCAAATATAAAATATATTTTAGCATCTTTTTAGGGACATAGACCCCTTAGATTCGACGCCTGCTACTACCAAGTGAAAAAGTCAACGATCTCAGCGATCTGGGAATTCCAAGTTCCTGCGAAATATGAATTTTGATAAAACTACTGATTAAGAACATCATAAGCTTTCCTCTTATGGCTCTTCTAGGTCCTATTTGAGCTTATTCTTATCACTAGATCGTATATAACAAGAAAACGGTTCTAGTCGTGACTAGCGTTAATAAAAAATTAACTGTGAGAAATAATTCTGCAGAAAAGTAACACAAAACCTTAATGTACCCAATTTTGTATGACATACGCAATATGAACTTTATTTATTGCTTAATGTTAATTTATTTTTCAAATTTATATGTAGTTATAATAAAATAATGCACATATTTGTTTGCTCGAATATCTGAATCCAGAAATCTGATTTTTTTTTTTTTTTTTTTTTAGCCATGTATAGATTATTTTTTTTGTTAATATATACAATGATAAAAAATCTGAATAGCATACTCATATGTAAAGATAAACAAAATTGCTTCGAAAAGTGGCACATCTTTAGAGGTTGGAAGCATGGATGTAAGGTCTGTGATGAATACAATCACCATTCACATTTGTATTGTAAAACATGCAAAAAAGTAGCGGATGGATTATATAGGTGATGTGAATGTGATAATTCTTTAGCTTCAAAGAAGCGTCTTTCTAAGGCAAGAATAATTTAATAAAAATAAAAAAATCCTACAGTTTTCTAGTAGTTATCCCGTAGTTATTCTATAGTTAATATATATCTATTATACTAAATATAAAAAAAATCTCATAGTTGTCCTGTAGTTATCCTATAGTTACCCAATTACCAGATTACAGGATGCCACTGGAAAATTTCACGAAGTGTATGCAGTAAAAATGTGAATTTCTGTACTTACTCTGCCAAAAATTTCGCTGACCTTGGGTCAGGATAATTTTTCACCCCTATACCATACTAATATAGCCATCCACACTATACTGATATTCATATTTATTATCCCATAAATCCGTATTGCACAATCTGTTTACATGTTATACTACTACTTCATTCTTCCTTTGTTATCAATAACTTTTCTCCTATATCTTATCTATAGCTTATCATATCGCTTTATTAATAATCGAAAAAATGGCAAACTAACAAAGTATCAAACTTACAAGTCAAGAAGTATAGTATTAGTATCAATTAGTATTATCGCTATTAATTGTAATCATACTTATCTTTTATAACTATCTGTGGCACTAATACAATTGTCGGCACATACATTGTAAAAAATGAATTGTATGTGAATTAATCGCCTATAAAATAACCTTGACTATAAATAAATTTTTTTTATGTAAGCATGGGCATACTTAACTGATTTTTATCCAGGCAGATTATATATAAATTTATAGAATTTAACAGTCATAACTAATATGGTAGATACCCTAAATGTAAATAGAAGCTAAGTGTACGTTGTGAGGAGCTAAATCGATCCAGAAACTCAAAATATGGCCCTCATGGATATCGACTAACACTAAACTAATCCTAATCACACACTAATCAGCTAAACTCTATCCAACCCTAATGGTGGAAGGCATGAAAGAAGGCATGGAAAGACTTGATCCGAGTTATTAGGGCCAAATAGAGCTCTAGGCTACGTCACGAGGCTCTAATTCGGGTCACGGGTTTATAAGATATCAGGGGTAATTAAGCGAAATGTTTAAAGTTGGGAAAAGACTTCTTAATTAAGTCAAACTCAAATGAGTTATACTAACTCTCTATTTTTTTTATTGAAGGTGAGCTCAAGGCTCTTATATGCTAAAGTTTTACAGACTAAAAAGTAAGTGAATTCACTCTCTTACTTTGCTTACTTCTCTTACTTCGCTCACTTTACTACTTTCCTAACTAAAAATTATTTTGAGCCATAATTCACTCTTTAACAACGTGCATAAATTAAGATGAATAAGTAATATGCTTATATTTAAAAAGTTATATAAAAAATTCTATAACACTTACCGCTATACTAACGACTATTATGTGGTTGAGATTGAGTTAGCTTGTCTTAATTTTTAGGTGATTAAGCTTGAGTTAGTTTGCATTGAAGTTTTTTATGTGATATTCTTAATGTAATAAAAATTTTAAATCTCAACGGCTATAGAAAAGTATGTCTGCTAAATCTCACGATATGCATTATTATATTATCTATTGTATGAGAGTTGTTTAACCAAACATCGCTTTTGTCTCGATTAAAGTGCATGACGATCAGTATAAAAATATCTTTTTTTATTATTGCACTAACTAAATATGTTATGAAACCCAAGAAGGAGTATAATACTGTATTGGCTACTTACCGTAGATAGATACGAATATCGAGATAATTTAAAACCTGATTGCTTATAAAATTTAATTGTATATCTATGAGCTTGCCAGATCAGCCATCTCAAAGATCACTAACAATCGGCATCACTATCGAGATGTTGCAGTTGTGGCAATAACCTTGATCATTAAGGGGTTATTAAAATTCGAAATTAATAAGTTGCGTATCGAAATAAGTAGAGCGGAGCTCATGCCAAGGCATAGAATTTTAAATAGCATTTTTACTATGTAAATTATGTGTCAAAGACACTAGCTTCGCTATAAATCGAAAAAAAAAATAAATTGAGATGTTCTAGTTTTAATGTTGAAACCCCTAATTTTAAAATCGGCTAGTAAGTATCTAAATTCAATACAAAATATGACTATCTTATTCAACATTTCTAAATTAGACTTTTAATCGAATTAAGCTTAGCTACTTATTTGCAAATCGTTCACGATTGCCAGTAGATCGATATATTTGATGCATTATAATGATTATTATTTTCATTTAAGATCGCTTAGTCCAAATACTTCAGTTGAGTTGTAGTTGAGTCGCGGTTGTGTCGTGGTTGAATTTTTCTTATATAATTATATGAAAAAAGTCATACCTCAGTTGAGTCGCGGTTGAAACGTGTTAGGATCTTAGTGATGTGGACTGATGATCTAACTCTTTATTGATATGATAAATACGTAATAATATATATATTATCGTTAATCATGATTTCTTGTTATAGACAAGGTTATACAGTAACTATGCTTCCACTACTATACTTTTATCTGGTAAGATAAGAGCATTATTCCAAGGGATGGGTATTGTGAAGTATTGAGTTTTTAACTCTTGAATTAGTTCCAAATTACTAGAATATGCTTTTAGTACATCATCGTATGGAATTCCTGGCTCTTTTAAATTAGTGCAATGTAAATAATATGTATTTTTATTTCAACTATCTAGCCACCACTTACCATTTAAACTCATATGATTTTCTCTACATAGTGGGCAATGTGAACTGAGAACCCAATAGAAATCACTTTGATGCTCATCTTCAGTATCGATACTACAATTTTTATCTAACTTTGGTGAGTCAGTAAAATGTGAAGTTAGTTTATTAATAACTGAATTACGCATCTCTTTTGATAGCTTTCTCTTGAATGGGAAGAGTTTTGGAGGAGCATAGGAGGCTTTTGACTGTGCTAATTCTGCTGAAATTTGAAGCTTGGGCTGAGATATGGTTAGTGTACTCACCTCAATTTTCGGTAAAGTTTTCTCATCTACATCAGTTTTGGGTAAGTCATCTGAAGAATTGTCCTGGTCATTGATGAATTCTTTGGTGGGATTTTTAGTAAAATGATCAATAATTGTTTGAATCTGTTCATTGGTAAATTTCGAAATAGCATTCGCGCTATATGACTTAATATATTTTACTTTATCTAGACCTATTTTTTCGAATAATCTGTAAATTTTTCTAGCTCTTTCAATTTTCTTATATAGTGATTCGCGCCTAGTACCAGGATTTTGTGCAATAATAAAATCATAAACTTGACCTTTAGCTTTTTTTATACTTACTTTATCCCTAACCATGAGTTCATCAAGACTTTTGTCAAGTACTATAATAAAATTACTCCAGCATAAAATTTCAGCCTGATTAGCTTTTATTGATTCATGTTCCGCATCACATGCTTTTTCATATAAGTGGGCGATATTTTGGAAGATGCTCGATTTTTCCTGACCTGAAGACAGCAAAATTTCAGTTGCATATTCTGGAGATATAGAGTCATGAACTTGGGTAAATGGAGATGTATCATCCTGGCTATTATCTGCAGTTATTTCCTGAATTAAGCCTTGTTCTTTCTTTCGCTCATAAGAAATAGTAGGTGCAATATTTTCTTTATGTATTATTTTTATGAATTCAAGGCTACTAGCCAAATTATCATCAACAATATCTTGTTGTGAAGACGTTATAGATGTTACGGGCTCTGTTGGAGATTCAAATAAATATTTATTGCAAAGCAATGACCCTTTGGGTCTAGACTCACCTTTCTGTAGCTGGGTTGAGCTGTGTATTGGTTCAGGTGTAGAATCGGTAATAATAGATTTCTTATCTTTTGTAGAAGATGCATTTTGGTTATTAATAGTGACTAGAGTCCGCATTTGTTCCAATTTTGTAACTCTATCTTTCAGCTCGGTATTCTCAGCAGTAAGTTTGGTAGTATCTGTTTGATATTTCTTTTCTAGTTCTTCAAATCGGATCTTGAGCACTGCATTTTCTTCTATAGCTTGTTTTAGTTCTGCATTCTTAG